CATCATCAGTAATCTGTCAAGACGACAGGTCCACAGTCTCTTCCAAAACAATTCCTCCACTTAATGCGATCTAGAGCTTTCTCCTTCAAATGACAGTATCCTCTTCTGTCCCCAAGGTCATCCAGCATCTTCTTACGTCTTCTTCCTCGTCTTCTTGTCACTTCTATCCGCCCATCTATCTTTCCTTCGATAGCTTCTTTTAGAAGGCAGTTTCTGCGTAAAACATGACCAATCCAATTAGCCTTCCGTTTTCTTATTTCATGTAGGATATTCCTCTGCTCACTGACTCTAATTAACACTTCTTCATTTCTCACATAATCGGTCCAACTGATCTTCTCCATTCTTCTCCAACACCACATTTCGAAACTTTCCAGATGTTTCTGATCTACTGCCCTAAGTGTCCATGTTTCAGCCCCATACAGAGCTATGCTCCAAATGTAGCATTTCACTAGTTTCTTCCTCAAATTTAAGTCCAATTTGCTGGTAAAAAGATTCTTCTTCTTGCTAAATGCAGCTTTTGCCATGGCAATCCTGGATTTAATTTCACAAGTACACCTTCCATCATCTGTTAACAAGCTACCCAAATATTTAAAACATTTCACATTCTCCAGTTGTTTTTGGTCTATCTTTATTGTGACTGGGGTTGGTTGTCTCGAAATTTTCATTACTTTTGTTTTCTCCACCTTCATTTCCATGCCATAGCACCTTCCAATTTCAATTAGCCTATCAATCATGCCCTGTAGCACAGTTTCTTCCTTAGCGATTAACACAAGGTCATCTGCATATTTCACAGTTTGAATAATTTGCCCTCCTACTTTGAATAATACCGTCATGTATTTAGGGATGTGCGACTGTAGACGGGGTTTGGATTGATGACGGATTTAGTGTACACTTATATAACTCGTTACTGCATTTTAAAGATCACTAACACAGCCTAGTGTCCTCAGTCGATTAAGGTTTCCATTAGCCGTTTCCTGGCAACAGATTTAAGACAGTGGAAATTTTCAGCTTCCGTGGTCACGGCGTTACCCGCTGGTTAACACTCCACAGCTGAACTCAGAGCGCCAGCTTGAACAGCCGTAAGCGAGCATGTTCATTCTTAAGATTGTGTATGACTTCTGCTTGTTGCCTCCACAATTTTGTTATATAATCGTGTACATATGGAAGGTTGAAAGCTGTGGACCGGCGTGCACCTTTGAAAATATCCAGTGGTGCGGAGAGCTTTGTTTTAGGCTCCACAATTTTAAGAGGTAATTCTCTTCCGCTAGTTCGTAGGCGGGGCAAGCATAAAGCATTACTGATCTGATCAGTGCCTTATGGAGGGTTTGTTTAATGTTGGCACTTGGACGTTCATTTTTTAATAAGGAGTAGATTGTAAATTTCTGAAGGTATTTGCTTAAAATATTTCTAGGTGCAGTCTTCATGTAGTCCTCTTGTCGAAGATTACAACCAGATATGTTGCATGATTGACGAAGGGGATTTTCCGTCCTTTCAATGTAAGATGAACCTCAGGGGGTCTAAGTATATGAGAAAAGTAGAAGGCCTGAGCTGTATTTTTATTGATTTTTATGTTCCAGCGCTCACACCATGTCCTAAAACCTCACTGCAAGTTTCTGAGAACACAAAATTTTTTTTGCGGTCTGTCGCATATATTGTGGTGCCATGAGCAAGGAGACCTAGATAGACTCCAGTTACTCCATTGTAGCATGTTACATAACCGTTAGCTAACAGTGCCTGTTTCTCTGACTCCACAATTCTTTCTCTGAACAAATACGCCACAATACTTTATAAAGAAGACGATTTTCGATTGGCTATTTGTGCGTGTTATTCGTAGGAGATTGCGATAAATGCCTGCCTAGACGCTTCATTTGATAACGTGTAGCACTAGAAAGGAATATGAGAAAAGACGGGGAGTTAACATTACGAAGGTAAATGTATAGTTCTCCCTGTGTTTCATTAATTAAAGACTATGTATAGCCTCACCATTCTTGATATCGACACTGGATGAAGGTGAGTGGTCAACTTAATACACCATGTTCCTCCCTCCCGGGGAAGGAGCCCGCGCTACCAGTTGATAGGTCGATGGCAGGGCTCCAGACCCGGTCTGGACGCTTTGGAGGTGAAGAAAATCTTTTTCTCCTACCGGCAATCGAACCCTGGCCTTCTAACCCGTAGCCCACTGACCTATAAGAGCACGGAACCTTTTTTAACGAATTATTAGAATTCCCATTGGATTCTCAGCGGGTGTTAAGCTAAAATCAAAATATATGTTAAAGGAATACTATTTGGAAGGTTGAACTTGTTCGAATGTGTTCTAGCTGTGGACTTCTGAACTTGATACAGCAGCTGCCACCTATGCAGGATGACCGTGAGTCATGAATTTTATCAGGCAGTAAGTTGTTTACTTGCTCAGTCTGTTTGTTAGTTAATAAGTACTCGGTCAGATATTAGTCTTGTAGTTACAGCACGACTGAAAAAGATGCATTTCATAAATGAGGTGATCCTTTTCGTCGAGAGAGGGAAACGCCAAAGCTTTGACAGAAACATCCGACTACTAAACAATGTATAGTGTATGTCATGAAAACCTGAGCTGATAAATTACAAATAACAATTAATTTCCTTATGCACGGTAAAGGGCAGGACTCGCCTGCTGGGTAACAGAATCGATACATAACAACGGAATGCTAAACTAAAAACTAACGTCCGGTGAAGAGGGGGAAATTACAACATAAACATAAGGCAATAAAACATCAATGCATAAAAAATTTATTTCACCTGCATATTAATAGAAGACCTAGCAAAATTTTCACAACAGATGACATCAGTCGCTGAGTGGATTCGGGATAGAGGGAAGTAGACCACGGAACAAATGCCTTGACATGTGAAGAGGCACTATAACAGTGGCGTGTGTGCTTTAACATGTTTTACAATTTCATAACTTTAATGCATTTTACAATGGTAATTATAAATTCAGCCGATAACAGTGGCCGCGCGGTCTAAGGCATCGAATGTATTTGCCCGCTCGAACAGTGGGATCGTGGGTTCGAATCTCACTCGAGGAATGGAGGTCTTGTGTTTATTCTGTTTGTGTTAGGTAGCGGCCTTGCGACGGGCTGATCCCCCGTCCATGGAGTCCTATCGACTGTCTAAGATTCAGAAACTGAAGTGAAACGAAGCGTTTCACGGATGCCCTCTGCTCCAAGTGGGAGCAACAGGAATAGAATAATAATAAGAAGAACATAATTATAAGTTCAACAAAGAAATTCGCCTAGAATGTTAGCCAATATTAAGGATCTGAACAATTAAAAACAATTTCTTTAGAATGTACACTATATATTTTAAAATGACAACGAACATGTATCTTTAATTATTGAGATATACGTAATTTTAATACAAAATTGTATGTTATTTGAAATACAGTATATATATATGTATATATTTAATGAGCTAAGCCCAAAATAACAGGAGAAATTTGGATGAGGAACTTCAAAATTTTTATTCCTCACCCAATACTGCAAGGATGACCGAATTAATAAAAGTTCAGATTTGGAACCTTAAAACAATAGCTCACTGAGGAGACCTAGGCATAGATGAGAACGTAATACGTAAATGCGAAAGGCAAAAAAAGAAATCGTCCCTATGCTTAATTAAGTACTACGCCATGAAAACATGTGAGGGAATTGAGGTATAGCTCCGCCATTCTTTACCTCGGCTGTAGATGGAGGTGAGTGCTCAATCTCACGTTCCAGCCGCTTTACACCCTCGAAAACAACTCTCGGTACCTATTTTGTAGGACGCTAGGTGGACCCTAGACCTTATGGAGAAAAAATTATGTCCCCATACCGGGAATCGAACCACTACTATCTTGCCTGTCTCTATACAGACTGAGCTGTCTTGGCTGTTGATGTGGTATATACACTTATGCTATATGAATTCGATGATTTGACTGTCTCGGGATATGGTTTAATGACGGGCTTTTGAAAACAAGAAAATTAAATTTTAGCGTTCTATCAAACGGTGGAATGTATTGGGTGACTCTTTAAGACCTCGTGCCGAGAAGTGAGCCGGTCTGTTAATTAATTAGATAGTCGGTCAGTTAGTTACAAATATCAGGAAGAAAACAGAAATCGTTTCAATGCAGAGGCCAGGGAATTCTGGAAGTTGTATAGAAACTGGGAATTTTTAAACAACGCTCAAGAACTCCTAGTGCCATGTCAGTCAATGTGTTAGAGTATTAGTATGAAGTAGAAATTGTTCCAGTGCAGAGGTGCAAGAAGTTGAGTATTTTTCACATTCTTGAGAAATGATCAAGCAGTAAATTATTTGAAGAAAGCAGTCTTCTGGGATTTGGCACCGTGTATATGTGATGTTAACCGACGTTTCGGAGGGACGTATCGCCTCCATCTTCAGGGTAGAAGAAAAAATATAAGAAATCTGCAAGCGAAGAGACCGTGAGAACCGGTAAAAACAGACTGTGTAGAAATATACACAGCGTACATTTCCACACAGTCTGCTTTTACCGGTTCTCACGGTCTCTTCGCTTGCAGATTTCTTATATTTTTTCTTCTACCCTGAAGATGGAGGCGATACGTTCCTCCGAAACGTCGGTTAACATCACATATACACGGTGCCAAATCCCAGAAGACTGCTTTCTTCATAGTCACCGCCGTGAAAGCCTCAAATCTTACATAGTAAATTATTTCTTCCGTTTTTCTGTGCGACGTAAGTCCGTGCTAACAAAGCCATAGCCTGTCTCCGTCAGTCCTAATGTTAAATGCTATAGTTGTAAGAGATAAGGCTATTATGTTCTCTTATCGTCTTTTGTGCTTCTAATTCAAGAATTCACATGCACTACTGCGTGCACGGGGAGTGGGGGTTGTCGGCGTGTCTTACGAAACTGGATATCTCAATTATTCCTGAAGGCGTCTGTTAAAAATTTCCTAGCGGAACAAAGACGAACTATACAGTATTTTATCTCAGTCAACAAACATATACAAATATATTTTTAAGTAACAGTTTAAATATATAGTGACTTCCATCTTTCCAGAAACCAGAAGCCAAGAGCTGATGTTAACGACCAGGTCTTAATAACGAGTACAACTGGTTACGTAACTTCAGTTGTTTGCTGCGTTAAAATAAATCTCGTGACTAAGAGAAATAATTTAAGTCATTCAAATTTTTCTCGGACGTTTATGTTATTCTACTATACAAACAAATAGCACAGTTTGATTAATTTATTATTTACTTGTTATATAAAGTATATAACTTGCATGTTTGAACAGTAGTCATTCGCAGCTTTTCAAACCTCAGTCGTTTGCTTGATATGGTAAAAACCACCGTTTGGCCTGAGTGTGGGCCGAAAAGGCATTTGTCTGCTCATCTTGGCTACAGACTTCTGTTTCTGGTTACTGTCCCTACGGTCTACTGCCTCATAGCAGCCGGTGGAAGAGTAATTGAGCATCAGAACTTCCAGAAGCAACATACAGGTAATCAGTATCACATACGTTTTGTGTCTGTTTGTTGTACTATATTGACATTCAGACTAACAATATAATAGCAGAGCCATCAATAATGAATCCCGAGTTTGGACGTAACACCGATCTAGGTCCATCATCCTCATTTTAACAACCTATCCATAACATGCATATTAATGTTACACTTCCAGCTCCTCTTCAGTGTTCCAATGGATGTTACAAAAGACATTCCTCCACCAAAATTTGCCATCCTCACCATATCCGCATGCCCGGCCCACCTTGATTTCACTCTCATAACACTAGAGCATATTTTGCAGACGTCGCGAAATTTATAGATGTATAATCGCAAATTTATCACTTACTTTCTCCTTCTTAGATCCTAATATTTTCAAATATTTACTTGTAAATTATGTTTATTTCTATAAATTTCGCACCCGCACAAAATAGCTGAATTAGACTTACTTTTTCTTATCCAGAATATCAGCATTTTCATACGTATGTGGGGTAATTACAGTTTTTAACTAAGTATAAACATTTCCGGGATTTATTATTCTGTTAGTTTCATCATAACCTCATTTTTATTAATGTTGCCATATACTTAAATTTTTAGAAAAATATCAGATGATTTGTAACATACTTTATGGCTTTGTTGCTGATATTAAGTTTCGTGTATTTATGCCTTTAGTTTCACATCCAGTATGCTACATCCTCTTCAGGAGTGTGGAAAAATTTACGCTTTATTCTTTGTTATTTGTGTTATCGAACGGATCGACACTATCAGTACAAACATGCATCTGCCATAGGTCCTTTAATTTACGTCCTTCCTGATTGACTAAAATATTTCTTGATGAACATAAATTAATAATATTGTTACAGACATACACGCAGACAGCAAGGTGATTTCATTAGCCTACTTTTGTTTCATTCAAAACAAGAAATACAAGAAATAGGCCTATGAGATCATCTTGCTGTCTCTATTTGTATCCCCCCTAACAACTTCTGAACGCCAGTGCCGATCTTAATGAAAGTTGGCATATACAAATACTTCGCATATATGTCATGATAGCTGATGTCATCTAAGCAGCATACTTAATAATTTCTCCCATCAGTAACAACAGCACTACACTTTCAGTCCCTCAATCTGCCTTACCAGGATGTGATTTCTGATAAGGATATGTTTCTGCAGATGTAACTGCACCAGAGAATTCGCCATTAACAGCTGTCGTGTACGATGTTTCAGACGTCAGGTGGGTTTACTGAAGGGACCCTGAAATAAGGAAAACTGAAAGAGGAAGTGCTATCTTCTTTAGGTAGAATTGTGAGACACACACTCTTATTTTTTCAGTCGCTATCCAGTGGGGGCTTTGTTGGTTGTAACCCTCTTTCGCACAACGACACAGTTAACTCTGTCCCTCCACAAGTCACCATGGGTCTCCGAAGAAAATCTGGTCAATGACCTTCATAGTGCTTTTAATTCTGTCAACACCAGCCACCTCGTCTTATTTTGTGACTTCAATCTGAGTGAAGAATTGTTAGCTCATTAAATCAGCCCCTGAAATAATTCTACAAATTTTGGTACACAAATTCATTTGTGCTTCTTCAGTATACAGTCTGTTACAGCACATTGTAAGTCAGTAACCAGCTACTATAAAACTATCTGACAACATGTTCACATAAATACTGTTAGATGTGCAAATCTCATGTACAGCAACAGATACAATATCAATACATTTCATTTGTCCTAATGTCAGGACGTTATTAAAATGGATTTCAAAATAGTGGGCTAGAGGAACTGAATAGTATTAAACTTGCTTGGGATAGGGTCAAATGGCGGGTTCTCGTGAATGGTTCGAATTCCATAAACGGCATGGAATTTTTTGAGCAGCTGAGTGCCAACAAACTTCTCAAGGAGGACTCCGCTACTTGGAGGCAATTTGTTAGGGTAGTGTTCCAAAGTCTGCGTAAGGCCGAGTTGTGTGCTGTTATGGCCATAGTTGACAGTACTGTCACCCAGAGACCGCTCCATTGGACAGCAATTTCTCAGTGAGACGTGACTTGATTGTCCAAGCGTCTTGTCGCACTACGAGTATGTCCAGACCAAGTCTCATGAATGTTCTTATTGGTGACATCTAGCATTCTGAGTCAAAATTTGAGATAGGCTATAGCTGGAATGAATCACGTTCATATTAAACGGTTTTGTAAAGAAAAGGAAATTTAAAGGGGGCACGAGATTGGACTGCCTAGACAATGGGATGGCGAGTGTGGATCCCCTTCGGATCTTGAATAAATATCCTCTTGGTTTTGTCCAGGGTAGATAGAGGCAAGGCAGTGAGTAAGGATTTCTGTGAGATATCCAAAATATTGTAGAGTACTTAGTTCTTTTTTACTCTTGATTTAAAATCTTTGGACACAGCGTTTACAGGTAGATGTGAACTCTATATTGCACTAGTCTAACACAGATACTCTAAATGCATTTTTGCACGGCTTTAAGACGAAAGTGTGCCATACCTGTAAGAAACACTTCGTCTAAATTCATTAGAAGGCTCAAGGAAGAACTTTGACCCCAAAACTTTAAAGTTCAGGGCTGGGAGATTCTGTAGACTAGTTTCATGAGACCTTTCAATCAGTTCAAGTGGAGGTTCCCATGACTTTCATGTTATAAAGAGGGCAGACTCTGACCCCGTTGACCCCAAAGAACTGTACCTTACTATTTGACGTCATGGACAGGCAAGAATAAATCTCCTTACCGACTGATTCTTTGGTCCTGTAATAACTTAAGTGCAGATATCTGCTTGACCAAACAGTCAGGTGCTTACAGACACGCAATCCTTTTACACAGCAAGGAAAATAATTTGCACTTCAGTCCTAGGAATTTCTGAAAGTATCATTAGCCTTGAAGTAGAATGAATTACAGGAAGAACTACTCCATGCACATAAACAGCCAGTGCAGTTAACGTGACAGAAGTGCAAGAGAGGAAATTAAATTCGAAAATTAGTCTCTTCCGTAATACTTAGTTATGGCGGCGGACACAGAATTCTCCCTAAAGCTCTGTCTATCTCTCTGTGTCCCTGTCCGTCTATCTATCTATCTATCTATCTATCTATCTATCTATCTATCTATCTATCTATCTATCTATCTATCTATCTATCTAATACGTCCATCCACACACCTATCCGTGTATGTACAGTAAGTGTGTATGTATTGTGGCATGTTTGCTCAAGGCAAGGAAAGTAGTCAGACCCCTCCTCTCCTCGTAGAGGAGATCCCATTAAAAAAACATAGAAATCTGGGAAGAATAAAAATTTGGTCATGGGTCCCGACGGAGTCCGATAAAAAGAACGACTGTGCTGACAAGGACCAGCAGAAATTTACTGGACCGCACTGTGAGCTAGTTCGGTGGTTGGCAGCCAGTGAGTTCAGCTCGGGAGCAGCAAATGAAAGGTGCCAGCCAGCGAGGACAGGAGCCGTTGGACACGGAAGCCGAAGACGCTGCACCGTTGGAAGCCGCTACCTAGCAGCGCAGTGAAGACCATGGCTGAGAACACCAATTTGTGTGTGGTAGTGATTTATAAAGTATAGTCATGGGTTGAGTGTCTAAAGGCCCGTCCACTTTACTCGTGCTCGTGCGTCAGAAGCTTACTGCTTCCGGAAAATCAGGATCTTCGGCTGATATCTGTTGTGAAGAAATGCGAAGGCTTTGTATGCAAACCAGTTTGGGCGTCCACTTCGTCAGCTCCAGATCCTGATTTTCCGGCAGCAGTAAGCTTCTGACTCACGAGCACGAGTAATGTGGACGCGCCTTAAGAGTTCAGTAAATCCGATTACCAATCCAAATCCCATCTGTGGTAACTCCATCGCCTGACAACTGGTGTCAGAATTTGGATTGGATTGAAGATTCATACCACGGAAATGAAATAAATGACGGAACAAATGTTGGAATGCCTGCTGACAAAAGTGAGAGAATTTTACGTAGAGAAGATAGCCGAATTGAAGGCCACTGAAGAGATGCTTGAGGCTAACCAACGAAGGACTAAATGCAAGATGATTACCTGGCTAGAAGGAACAATTGCCTGTCTAGAGGGCATGGAGGATAATCAAGAAAAATTCGAGGTCGTGGATTTGGAGGCCAATGCAGAAGAAGAAGTGCATTTAATGGAACCGAAGGTTTAAAACATTGTTTACAATAGGCCTCCACTGGTCCCTATCCTGAGCCAGATCAATCCAATCCATACCATCCCGTCCTATCTCCATTTTAATACTGTCCACCCACCTACGCCTTGGTCTCCCCAGTGGTCTCTCTCCTTCTGGCTTTCCCACCAATATCCCATATGTGTTCCTCTTCTCCCCCATTTGTGCTACATGTCCTGCTCACGTCATCCTCCTTGAACTGATCATTCTAATTATACTTGGAGAAGAGTACAAGTTATGAAGCTCCTCATTATGCAGTTTTCTCCAACCTCCTGTCACTTCATCTCTCTTCGGTCCAAATATTCTCCTCAACACCCTGTTCTCAAACACCCTCATTCTATGTTCCTCCCTTAATGTCAGAGACCAAGTTTCACACCCATACAGAATCACAGGCAAAATTATAATTTTGTATATTCTAATTTTTACGTTTTTGAACAGCAGACGAGAAGACAAAAGGTTCTAGACTGAACGGTAGCAAGCATTACACCCGAGTTCAATCTCCACTTAATTTCCTCCTGAATCAGGTTTTGATCTGTTTTAATTGTTCCCAAATATCTGAACTGTACCACATTTTCAAAACATCTGTGCCCTATCTTTATGTCATGATTTTGCCCTGCATTTTGGTGACGAGACAGCAACATATACTTAGTTTTCTCTGTGTTTACTTCTAGACCAACCTCCTTACCTGCGTCAATTAAAGTTTGTGTGTTTTTATTTATGGTATCTATATTATCACCCAGTAGATTCACATCATCGGCATAGACCAACGGCTGATGTGTCTCATTTAATTTCAGTCCCACCTGGTTTCCCTGGACCTTCCTAA